GAAAAAGATGACAACGAACTTCTCACACTGGAAATAATCCACAGATATGTTGAACTTCTTGACAAGTATTTTGGCAGTGTAAGTACATAACATGGAGTGGGACATGGGGGTTTGCGGTGTTGTGGTGTTGATGTGTTTTTTTAATGCGGTGATGCAGTGAATAAAATCTCAACTTGCGGTGTTGCGGTAATGTCAAACCCTATGGTGTGCAATGTATGTGTTTTTCACATTGCGGTGTTCAGTGAAATGAAATTGTTTGTGGTGCTGGGTTTTTTTGATTTACCTTTCTCAAACCTAAATTTGGCATGTAAACTTCGTTAATCGATGCTAATTTATGACAAACACGCACCATTGAGGTTAANATTTAGCATGTAAACTTCGTTAATCGATGCTAATTTATGACAAACACGCACCATTGAGGTTAATAATTTGTAACAAAATACAGACCATCACTTTCTAGTCAATCTTCAATATGCTTCAGCTGCCAATCTGAAGCTGTTTTCATTTATACGTAACTTGACAAGTAACTTGACCTCTGCCACCCGGAACTCAGTGTTCGGTACAATCCTGGAAATTCTGGAAACGCCAAGGCCGAATATAATGTATTATTGACTGCACAGCTTTTTTCTACAAAAAAAGGAAAAGGTGGCGAAAACTACCAGCCACAAAATATATTCAGATGTCGCATTGGGAGGGAAGAAAGAAGGATTTCTAATTAAGCTAAGGACACTTTGTAAATTACACACGTTTACTATTTTTTTCCTTTTGCTATACGGCTTCGTCTATAGGATTCTGATACCAGTCTATACCCACTCCAAGGTCCTGCAACTTTCTTGACCTTCTATTTTTTCAAACGATTATTGATATCGAACGCAAACGCAGCTAGCTCCAGAAAGCAATACTTTCAGTCAAGATAGGGCTGCAGTCAGTGGGTTTATACACCAAGAAAAGTGAGTGAAGTAAAAGAAGAGAGGGATCTGGGGCAAAGGCCATCTTCATCTGCTTTCCAGTTTTGTGCAAGGTTTCTTCACACGAGCAAGAAAACTGATTTACAGGCATCACCAGTATCAACATACGTGCAATGGAAAGAGTTGTGATGTGTTTACTTTGTGGAAAATTGTTGAGGTATAAAAGTGTTATTTTAAGTGTAGATGAATGAATCATGGTGCTAAAAATACATGTTGCGGTGATGGTGTTTCGTCGACTTTTCTTGCGGTGATGTGGTGTTCGTTAATTTTTTTTGCGGTGTTGCAGTGTTTAGAACCCCCCATGTCCCCCTCAACATGGTTAAACCTTTTTCATAGCAACAGCAAAGGGCCTGAGCTGAGTATCTGTATTAAAGAAGTAGAGATTATATAAATTCTGGTTTCTCTAAGAACGAGTGAACAGTTTGTAAAATATGGGTGTCTCTGTATTATGATGGTGAGTCCAAGGAGAGGGTTGACTATAACAAAAAACATCTTCTGTCTACAGTTGAACCTGTGTTAAGCAGTCATTCTCAGGGAATGGCTAAGTGACCACTAACACAGGGTGACCGCCTAATACAGGTTGCAAGAAAATCAGTTCAAATACAATCAGTGCTGAAAAGACATTTGACTTCAAATTAGAAACATTCATTTTCAGCGTTTTAATGATTTGCGAACTTAAACAAGGAAATCATTTGTTGTACCTTGTGTGTTACATTATTTGAAACTGTATGAACAAGTAATTGACACTATGTGACCATTTAACACAGGTCAAGACTATAGAAAAAGTCCCAAATCTTTGCAAATGGTGACCGCGATCAATTGATAGAGGTGACCGCTTAATAGAGGTCAAAATTATGGTAACTAAGGGAAGCAATTTTCTGGACTTTGAAAACTGAATGCGTAATATAGGGTGACCGCTTAATACGGTGCCGCTCAATGCAGGTTTGACTGCATTGTCATTTTCATTTTTTGATTTAATTTTGCATTTTACTTCCTGAAAGGTATGTGAGTTAGACATCATTTTCAACTTTGAGAAGGCATATTTTATGCTGGATGAGCTGATACTTGGTGGAGAGATTCAAGAAACAAGCAAGAAAAATGTTCTGAAGGCAATTTCAGCTCAAGATCTCCTTCAGGAGGTATGCAAATCTTTCCTTTATGCTTATATCATACCTCTGTTATCATTGCTTAGGTAGGTGGGATTGGGAGAATTGTTTGGCAGTGTTTTGCTGTTTAAACTCCATTGTCATTGTCAGTAGCAACATGGTTAGTTTCTAAAATACATTTGTGGTGTCAGCATCAACTGTATTGCTAGGAGCCACCTTCTCACCACCATCGTGAGCTGGAACTCACGGCTCCTCTTGAAACGTACTTCAAGAGGAGCTGTTGACCCTTGGGCAGCCCTAGCAGCGCTAAGACACTACCAGAGGAGAGCAGGTCAATAGCAGGCTTGAAAGCATTTAAGGGCATTCAAGCTAATTATTTATGCATACATGTATCTTAATTTGTGTGCCAATGCACAATCATGAGCATAACCAATCTGGGCTTCTCTGACTCTTTTCAGTTCATAGATCTTCAGCCAGCTATCCCCTCATTTGGTCTTAAGTGCTGAAACTTCAAAACAAACAAAAGTGCTTTTGAAATCATCAGTTGAAAAATTCATAGAATAACAATTAAGAAATAGAAAACATATACCGTGTTTTTATCCAGTTGTAGAAACACGAGTGGAAGTTTGGGAGAATGAGAAATGCTGTGAGAACATGAGCCATAGGCGAGTGTTTCCACTGACAGCTTTTTCGAGTTCTCCCAAACTTTCACAAGTGTTCTATAACTCGATAGAAACATGGAGAACATGTTTTCTATTTCTTTTAGAAAACACCGCAACAGAAAAAAGGAAAACAACTTGTTAACTTTGATTATCAAAATGTAAATTCTCTTTGCTCACACCAACATTACATCAACAGCTTGTGCCAGTTCTGTGTTTCTATCGAATTATAGAAACACGATTTTTAACCAGTCAGCACACCTATTTTCTTAGGGCTGTTTTCTAACTGCTAATAAATTATATGAATTAATGTGAAGACTCAAGGCCATTTTCTCACAGTAAAATATTTTCCCAGATGTAACAGCATTGACTGAGCTTACCTCTAACAGTTTACCTTGTCACAAAGTATGTGTATCGTTTATGTCATACTCAAAAGGTAGTTGGAGTAAGATTTAATATTTATAAGAAATGTGAAATTCATTGTTTACCGTGACAGTGTGTAATTTAACAGAATGCTTATACACTGCTAATAAATTGTGTGACTTCTAGAGCGATACGAGTAGGTGTGTGACACATTGTCCCAGCATGTCTAGTGAAAGTGTACAAATTAAAATAATTTAAACTTATTTGAATGCAGTAACCTTAGTTGATACTTATAATTTATCACTAAATAAAAATGACTTTTAAAAATTGTAAAGTTACCTTGTAATCCTTTTGTAGTTTTAATCTGCAACAAATCAATGTTTCAAAAATAATTGTTCATCACAGTTAGCTTGCCAGAGCTCTAGTTACTCCAATCTTTTATCATGTTCTTTTCATAGCTGCAATATTATTTTGCCACTGTCGTCACACAGATTCTTCACGTCCTTCTTTACATTCCATACTATCATTCACATTGTACACCTTTTACATCATAAGTGATGTCAAATACAAGTTCTCTGTACTGTTCTTCATGCATGTCTCACCACACTAGACAAGAGATTTTGGATGTTTATCTTGTAATATCTGCCATCAAGAAAAGCATACCCTAGACTTGCCGTCATTGCTAACATGTTCCTCTGATCATGTGCTCCAGATGCAGGGGTGGGAATGATCATTAACCCTTGATTTCTACATACAGATTCTCCCTTCTGGTCTTCATACATTTCAAATAGTACCAGTAGGGAGAATTGTGTTCACATCTAGACACTCTGCTGTTAACTTTGCTTTACTAATCCTCTCCTCTGAGCCTCGTCTTTGCCTTCCTTTCGTACTTTTTCCACAGGAAGCAGAGCTGCGCAGTGCTTTGGAGGAGATGGGTCTTGCCTGAATTCTTTCATCTGTAAATCTCTACTTCTGATCCTTTTGTTCTACAGGAAGGCGAGCTCCAGCGCACGCTGGAAGAGATGGGTTTAGCCTGAACTGTCTCCTCTTCTCCTTCTTCAACGTCTTGTTCTAACATCTTCACTTCTACAGACCAAGACGATGCGCTTCTTCCTGCAGGGATTCTCTGTATTTTATCAAAGACAGATGTCTGTTGAATGACATAAATTCATGCAGCATTAGGTTTAGTCTGTGTATTGGAGAAAATCGTGCTCAGCATAGGAAACACGAGTCAAAATAAATATTTCATTTTGTCAAAAATTATTATCAAGTATTTGTTTAAACCTGTAGAAAGAAAAGAACAGTGTAATGAAGCAAGCTTCATTTTAGACCATTTCTACAGACGTCTGTTTTTGATAGTTACTGGCTTGATTTGTTTAATATATGTTGTTGTAGTTATTTGCATGTTAGAGATAGAACTCTGAACTGACGTTAAATTAGTTACTGGTATTTAAAAAGAAATAAAATTTCTCTTTGTGTACTGGAAAGACTGGGTAGGAATCTAGTTTTTCAAATATTATTCTTAAAATGTATAATTATCATAATTCTTTTAGGGAAAGAAACCTAGAGGCTCAAGTTTTTTAGTTAATTTCTGTTATGTTTTGTAAAATTTCTTCCCGTTTTTAAGCACTAAAACACACCCACAGGTATATTTTTACACTGACCTTGTATTTACTCATTTTAAACCATATGCTATCACAAAATAACAGACACTGGAAACTTTTTTGGCAACTTTCTTATTAAGTTCTTATTACGTTCAAGAGCGCTCTGCTTGTGAATGTCATCTAAACGTTTCTTTTAAATTGTGACATAATTATTAAAAAAAAAACCGTTTCATTCAAATTTAATTAAATATTACAAAATTAATATTGTAAATAATCATAAGAAGCAGTTCACATTAAACTGAAATAGTTTGCTGATTTTAATCCTAACTTACTCCACTTTGATATTATAGTTTAATATTATGAGTTAAAACCTTTCTTCGTGGGAATGCAGCAGAATTTTGTCAGCTAGTTTTATTCTCCTTGATTCTGTGTTGATGTTTTAGCGCACGTTATTCACAACTTTTGCCACATAAAATGCAGCTAAGAAAACCAATCAAAATTCCAGAGAACAACATGTAACCAGTAGACGGCAAGCGTGAAAACGTAGCTTGCAATAAGCGCGGGAAAACTTTTGAGCTGACGGCAAGCGCGAGAGAAGTTGTGACCCAAGGGGCGTGGATGGGGGAGGAGGAAGAGAATTCGGGGAGGGAAACCTTTTCCCCTCCCCCCTCCCACTCCTCCGATTTTTTTTTCCCAAATTCTCTTCCTCCTCCCCCACCCCCTCCCCTTTATACGCCTGCTACGCAAGCTATGACCGGACGGCAAGCGCGAAAAACGTAGCTTGCAGTAAGCGCAGGAAAGGATTCCGTGCCTAACTAGCCGAGAAGGCAACATGGGGTTCTCTGTGATTGGTTGGAGCAAGTTCCGCGAGTATTTTGAGCCAATTACAAAACTTGCAAACACGAACGAAAGCAAACATGTAACTAGACTTGGAAAGCAATTCTGAAATCGTTGTTAGAGCGCTGTACTTTATGTGGCTCTGTTTATTTGACAGGAAGGGGAGCTGCAGCGTACTCTGGAAGAAATGGGGCTGTCGTAATTACAAGATGAAGGAAAGAGAGATCTCTATCATCAACTTAGGAATCTCCTTTAGTTATTTTTTCAAATTTACTCCTTAGTTTGAGAGGATAGTGCAGGGACAACGTGAAATAATGAAATCACTGTATTCAAGCTTTATCGTGACAGCATAAGGAATTCATAAAAAGCTATCAGTTTCTTTTCGGTTAGGAGAAAAGACTCCTCTTTGTGCATGGTCTTCTAGTTGTCTTTTCTGCCTGTCTTTTTCAGCTGTCCCATTTCAACCGGGCTACAACCCGAACTTGGAATAAGCGCGTTCGCCTGAGCTATGCAGTAAGAACATTTTAAGATTAACATGTTGTTAACCTCTCCAGATAGCAAAGAAACCTGTTCCTCAGTCCTGGGTCCCGTTTCTCGAAGGTCCCGAAAAGTTTTCGCACCCGGAAAGCCGTAACAAAATCTCAGACCTTATGATTACAGAGCTGTTTAATTCAGATATTCTCAGTCTAAACAGAGGTTCCATTCCGTACAAGAAGTTTCAGGCGTATACACCTCTCTGTCTTTAAATACCGATTGACTAAAAGTGGCTTCTCGGGCCCAAAAAGTTTCCGGGACTTTCGAGAAACAGGCCCCTGGTTTGATTCAAGATTGATCTAATCACAAATATTTGGTATAAAGTAAAGTATAGCCTATGTGAACGTTATAAAGCTGTTCTTATTATGTTTAGTATCAGTATGCTTGTCTATTAAAGCAAAGTGAAATAGATATTTTGTCTCAGTCATTTTATGTATTCATCGTCACCAGAAAGTCATATGCTTCTGGTGTCACTTGGTACAGTGTTTTTATATACACAAAATGGTATGGTAGCATTGCGGAGCGGGAAGAATAGCTATCGTGCCGACACGTACCACAGGACTGGGTCCGGGTTAGTGTAGCCTGCGAACAGGCTCCCGGCGAGGACGGAAGAAAAATTCGGCGAGCAATGCGAGCGGACGAGCGCGAAACTGAGAGAATTCGGAGAAAGAAGCGATCGGGGCGGGGCGGGGACTTCGTTTGGGCTCGTCGGGAGCCTGTTCGCAGGCTAGGGTTAGTGGGGTTATAACATAAGGTCCTCTTTCAGGCGTTCAGTTAGTTGGGGCACAGAGCGAAAAACGGTGAACTAGGAGAGAGGGTCTCCCCGCTTTTCCTGTATTTTTTTCGCTCGCCGTTTTCCGCCCTTGACCTGAACTAACTGATCGTCCGGAAGAGGCTACTCAGGGTAGTGTAGGCACAATGCAGCCTGTGCAAAGAGCCGATTGTCGAGAAATGTCTATCTCAGTATTTACCAGAAAGTGTACGTTTGACATCTATCATTTTTCACTGCGAGAAAAGATATGACGTTTTTTTGTCTTTCCAGGCTGGTTCCGTTATCTTCCCAAGTTAAGAACTTCACCGAAGCAGTTATCGCAGCAATCCGCTCGTGACATAAATTTTATGGTGTTTTCTTTCTTTAGATTAGGCCCTTGCAGATTGTTTTGCTTATATTAATGGTACTCTTATTCCAATACTAGCAGGCTTGGGGTTTATTACCATTGTATCGTGAATGCCATGTTGCAGAGATGGACGTACTCTTTATATAATAGTTTTTCTTACCGAAAGTTGGCGATTTTAAGCTGAAATATTCTTGTGAATATTCTTAGATTATGCAGTGTGACATATCTGTTTTCGAATGTATTTGGTGTCTGATCTGATGGCGTTACGAGTAATTTTGGAGCCAACCTGCAGGCATTCAAGCGTGATACGACGCACATAACTTCTTGCAGAAATGTATTAGTCGTATTAGCATCGACCATACAGGCTAGTTCTGTTTTTTGTCGCTTTTTGGCCAGTTTTTCTGTTTAGTGAAAGGAAAAATTTTATACGGTTTAGTTAAATCATATAATGGTGTTGCATTTACAAATTTCCAACATTCAAAATTATATTCGTTAAAACATCTCAGCCCCGGGTTTTATTCTTAAAATATTCTTAAAATTTCGCAAATTTCAGCCTTGATATTCCTGTCTGAACGTATTCTTATAAAAAAGAAAGAGTGAAACTGACTTCCTACGTGTCGTTTCATTTGGCGTTTTCGAGTCAGTATTAAAACTCGGGAAGCAATGCCAAAAACGGCCCTAAGTAAACATAAATCTTCACAACTTGGTATGTCTTTCGAGCGCGAGTAATGAGCTCTGAACGCCCCGTCGTTCGATTACGCCAAATAAGGGAATCCCGAAACTTACGTGTCAGGCGACGGAAATGCGAATACTATTATTTTCTTTTCCTGTCAATCTGCGGGGATCCGGATGTGATGTCACTTTCGTGTTGCTCTTGCAGCGAAACGGCACGCGCGAAAAGTCACGCAAGTAAATGGTATTCACAAAGATTCTTTATTCTAAACTTCGAGTCGTCGGTTTTTGTTCCACTGTTCGCAGGACTGATAGAGACTAAGATTACGCAAATTCACTTGGAAACGAAACCTGTCGCACGCTAGGAAAAGAAAGGAACTACTTGCACTTTACTCGTTAGTTCCACTCAACTTGCAGAGGCGAGGCAACTCCTTGGAATCTTATAAATAATTTATTAAATGAAAAATATACATACTTAAACAACGGAGTTGTTGTAGAATATCTCGAAAACAATCGAGTTTCGCAATTAGTCCAAGAGACAATTAGATTCGCGCGGGTGGCCGGATTCCGCTATTTCTAAGCCTTGCTTGCGTCACAAATGAACACGGCAAGTGTTTACAGAGTAGACAAATGACCTGTGTGGGAATTTTAGTCGATTAGCAACTCAAATCTGTAAATAAACATTGAACTATTAGTTGTTAGTGTGGGTTTATATCATAGATAAAACAGCTAAAACATGGCAGCTAAAGTCAATAAAAAGATTCAACATCGTATTTTTCTACACTGCGACAAATATCTGCGCCAATTTCATTTTTATATATTATTCTGCATATTTGTTGGCACGCATTCAACCTTTACAGGTATGTATCTGTACGACATCAGCTCTCCGACATGAAGATTATAACATGAATTTCAAATTGGCATACTTTTCGATGATTGTTCTGTCAATAATTTCGCATTTAGCGCTTCTTTCTGCCTTTCTTCTTTCCCTGGCGTTGTGTATCGTCTTCTTGGTGATTTTTGTCCACATTAAGAGCATGCCCGAGTTCTTTTATGTGTTGGAACATTTTGTTTCTCGTGGGAAACGACGCTTGGCAGACATTGCACTTGAATGTGCTTGTTGCCGGTTCCTTGCTAGCTGCACACGATTTTTTATTTCTTTCCGTCGAGTTTTTGTTGTCATAAACAGCGCCAGTCGACTGTATATCGCTGCCAGATTCTTGTAATTCCGTGATGTTCTCTTTGTTTCCGTCCTTCTCTCTATCAACGTCAGTTGTTGTTGTCCGGATTTCGTTCAGTAAAGTTTGTTTATCATCGCTGTTGCTTATTTGTTTTTCCCTTTCTACTCTGACTGTACTTTCTTCGTCATCGTCTTCGTTTCCCTTACTCTCTGAGTCTTCATCAACTTCTTCACTGCCCTCTAAGTCCCCTTCTCCAATTCCTGACAAAGCTCTTTTCCTCTCGTGCAGCACCTTCATTTTATAGCGATTGTTGCCCTTGATTCTCATAGTGGACAATTCCACGGAGTCCATCAGATTTAATTCTCCAATACTCACAAAATCCGTGCTACCCTCATCAACGCTGTACTGTCTCTTGTTCAGATACTCTTCTTCTGGTCCGTCGTCATTTATATCATCCAAATCATTTTCTACGTGGCTGGACGCATGATCGTCCACTTGCTCATTCTCAGCCATTTCTCGTTTGATGGCAGCGACCTTGTCCTTATGTTTCCTTGACTTCTCGTGGTTCACTAGCGCCTTCTCTGTTTTGAAAGCTTTATCACAAGCCACACAATAAAACTGTTCCACCTCCTCGTCATCTGATTGGCTCTCAGTGACATCAATGTCTTCGCCAAATTCGCTGTCCAAATGAGTGTTCATTTGAGCCAAGTCCTCCTCGAGTCCCGACAGTGTTGCCCAGCTCTCTTCTTTATACTCTTCAAACATCTTCTCGCGTTTCCGCAGAGCTTCGAGGCGCTTCTGTTCCGTTAATCGCTTTCTTTCTTCATCTTTCTCCTTCAATAGCTCCAGGTATGCCTTCACACGCTTGTCCCTTTTGCGGACGAACTTTACCAAGGCGCGAACTTCTTCGTTTCTTTCCTTTTTGGCGGCATCTCGGATTTTCTTGTTGTCTTTCTCCATCAGACGCTGGACTCTGCGGTTGGGCGCCTCTCTGATGTTGTATTTCTCCAACCAAACGTAGGATTTTAGAGTCGAGTAACTTTGCCAGAAAGCGTAAAAGGGCTGCACCACTTCTTCGTAATCACTCGAAGATGTTCCAAACTCGGGTATTTCCAGATCTTCATCAGTTGCGAATTCAGCGTCTTCTTTAGCTATTATTCTAAAAACATTGGAATAGACAGCATAAAATCCTTGCTCGTCGTCTCCGTAACCGCAATAAACAGAAGCGCTGAAGTACTTCATCAAATTAACGCTGTTATCGACATAATCATCCCCACCTCTGATAATCTGTTCGCGATGTTTATCGTACCAGGCTCGCTCTTGAGGGTCACTGAGAACTTCATAAGCTTGCTGGATCTCTGTGAAAATTCGAGTACTCTCCTCATTGTTGTCTCGGTTTTTATCGGGATGCCATTTTAAAGCAAGTCTCCTGTAGGATTTCTTTATCTCTTCGTCGCCTGCGTCCCTCTCGACTCCCAACACTTCATAACAGCAACGGGGCATTTCCAAAACTATAAAATACCAGCTAACAGCAAAAGCATACAGGTGATCTTACCAATATGAGTCCTGTAGGGAAAGATGCCTTTCACAGAAAAAATATTTTCAGCAGTTATTTCATACACCACGTTTTCGTCGGCATGGCGAAACAAAATGGCGGAGAGGTGGGTGCGCATGACATGATAGCTGCTGGTCACTAAGATTGTCATTTCAGTAGAGCAGTGGTTACTACTTGGTTGCTACGCGACGGTCTACGCGAGTCAGCCGCAGGCAAACTGTCTCTTCACTTCAAGATATTGCTGTCTTTCTCTTCAGGTTATATTTGATTTTTGATTTCGATCACAATTAAGATGCACAGGGCCTACCAGCCGATAACTCCCGCGAACAACAAGCTCTTGAAGAAACGATGGGATATGAGCAGATACCATACGCACAGGAGAAAGGTTTGTTTTCAGTTTGGCGCGCTACCGCGGGCCCAAAACTTCAATATTTAGTTCTCGGGGCCAGCTGTAGGCTGTACATATATTTGCTTACTTTGTGGTGTTTCCTACCCTTTCTAGGTGCAGTCAGCCAAAGCAGTCATTGATAACAAGCCTCCTCAGACCTACATGCATTTACATCTTAAGCTTAAGAAGTTACAGGTATTGTAAAATCTTTCTTTCTATTCGGATCGCTTGGAATGAAACAACGCATCTATCCCACACGCGGACAATAGATCGCAGTTGTGTCAACACACATTAAGAACCCTCTGTCTGTTATGATAATACTTTTAAAAGGGAACTGTGTTAAATTCATACGATTCAAGGACACTAGGCCTTCATCAGGACTAAAACGTGAAGATGCGGTATAATTATACGGGCGATTAGCGAGATAGATTGATTTGGCACGCAAAGCAGTTAGTGGTGGCGAAATTACGAAGAACCAGCTGCTCCTGTTTCAAGTACAAATTGCCATGACTGCAGTTGTGTTAATTATTGTACTAAAACGTTATTTCGCAGTTTTCTTCGCTCGCTTGTTGCTAATTGGCAAGCTGTATAGAGGTTTTCAAGCCAAGATTTAAATAAGGTGAAGCTTAAATTCTGTGGGAGTTGAGCATTTTTCATTGTTTGTTCAGCATCAACTTGTTAATTGACGTTCTGCATACATTTTGCTGTGTCGTTGAAATAATCAGCCAACGTATAATGTCTTTGTCATTTCTATTCTCGTTTTACTGCTTTTTCAAATGGAAATCGTAATCCCTTGAATAGGAGCCTTGCTTCTGAACTGTTGCTGAGGTAAAAATCATTAGCACATTTCTGAGACGTGACGGCACGCTAAAAACAAAAGCTTACATTTATTCAGGAACTTTGTTAGCTATGCAAATTATGGATCAAACAGAATACTAAATGTTTAAATTATCTTGAATTTGTCTGAGAAATCCGGGGCTTTTGTTATTAGAGATAAGGTGGCTCAAAACAGTTTCCAACACTTAGATTTTGATGGGTCGTTATAGCCACTCTTTATCACTTGATGCTACAATCATGGTATCAGAAAACTCTCCAATCATTGGTGAACACGTTGTTATCATTTTCGTGACAAAATAGATTACCATAGCAACAGTATGACCTCCTAAAAACACCCTTAACTACAGCTTTAAGGGCTTATAATTCAAAAATGGCACGGTGAAACTTTTTTATATTTCTAACTTTTGATAAGCATGATAAAACGCAACTTTTGGCAAAGTTTAAAAAAATTCCGTGCATAGGGTTCAGAGCCACCTCAAATTCTCGAAAATTTAAGGTGGCTCTGAACCCTTTGTACAGAATTCTTTTAAACTTTGCCAAAAGTTGTGTCTTATCATGCTTATCAAAAGTTAAAAATATAAAAAAAATTCACTGTGCCGTTTTTGAATTATAAGCCCCTAAAGCTGTAATTTAGAGTGTTTTTAGGAAGTCATACTGTTGCTATGGTAACCTGTTGTGTCACGAAAATGATAACAATGTATTCACCAATGGTTGGGCAGTTTTATGATACCATGATTGTAGCATCAAGTGATAAAGAGTGGTTATAATGACCCATCAAAACCTAAGTGTTGGAAACTGTTTTGAGCCACCTTAAAAAAACATCAGTAATTTTCATGTTTATTCCTAGACAAACACCAACAGCAAAATTTTAAGCACAGGATAAGAAAATAAAAATAGCTCCTAATCATTCACCCTATAACAAACAGATCAAATTCATAAACAGTTTGTTCCCCAAACATTTCTTAAATTTTTGGATCATTTGGTGGTCGAATTCCCAACCCTTGGGGGCAGGTGCGGATGCCAAATTCCTTTCTACCTTTAGGAGCTGGAGGTTGAAGGGTCTGTGCTGAGGATAACTGGGAGGGTGGGGAGGAAGGGGTAGCCTGCAAGCAGGCTCACGTTGGAGCACAAGCGCGCAGGTCTTAGCTGTGAGTGCGAAATCGAGCAGCAAAGCTGAGAGATGTGAAAGTGAGCCTGCTCTGATCTGTGCAAATTTTTCATTTCCACCCTGGAAACCGCAGAAAAAAAAGCCGACTATTTTTCACTGGAAGTATGAATTTTGGCAGCTCAGATTTGGCAGGAAAATTGTAAATCTTTTTCATAACAACATGCAGGCATGGTATCCATTGTTGACAAAGTTTTGCCGAAGAAAATCTGTCAAAGTTTCTGTCTAGCAGGGACACGCACTTGACTCTAAGTGATCTTGCTTTGGCAGTCTAGTCTTTGACAATGCTGGTAAATGGGCAAACGCCTTCATGTTGTTTTGCTGCCCGCTTGCAATCACATACGTTTGTAATATTTAACTCTTCCCAAATGCAGTCGATAACACAACAGGTACGTCTTGATTCATTAACATACTCATTTATCAACTGCTATGTCTTGCTCCATTTAACCAGAAATAGACTGGAAATTTGTTAAAACGTCAGTAATACATGCATTCAACTCTTCCTCTGACTCTAAATTTGGACGAATTATTTTTTATTGTGAGAATGCGCAGTAAATTACCAACTCCATGGGGATCTAATCGCTCCTCATCAAACTTAATAGATTGACCGTTTTCTTGCCTGTCCCTTTTTTTGACCAATGCTTTTCACTTTGCTCAGGTGAAGCAAAAATGAAAAAATTACATAGATTAAGGCAGGCTGACTTTCTTGGCACCTCTTCACCAGACTCCTTCCTGCCAGATCGCTTTGCTCTTCGCGGCTCATGCGCTTGGGTGGGGTGGGGGGCNGGGGGGGGGGGGGGGGGGGGTTGATGCTTGAATTACACCTGAGTATCTAAAGTAAATCATACAATTGGTTGTCGCGTTTCTATGTCTTCTTCAACTGGCTCAATGTAGACAGTTTGTTTATCCATGCTGGGTTTGCCTGGTTTCCAGTGGTTGACATTTAAATGTGACTTTTATATCAAAAAACTTGAAAAGTTGTAGTCATGTGGCTAGAAGTAAACCAAAAAATAAATTGACATCTACATTTAATTTATAAACTTGACATTACTTTTGTTTACACTTCATTAAACCATGCAAGATACTAGGGCAGCAAATTCTCCCTCAAAAAGTAAACATGTTGCAAAATTTCAAGTAAATTTGTGTCTACTGCTACTGATACTAATCCACCACCAAAATGCATTTTCAGGTCGAGGAAGAAACATTGGCCACTATTGAAAGAGACAATCGTATCCTGCTGGAAAAGATGTCATTTGTAATGAGGACTCGTGGACGAGTGGATAACAGGAATGACTACGAACACAAGAGTTTGAACAAAACAAAGAGACAAAGGGAACTTCTCAGAGTCACTCATGAAAACCAAGTAAGAAATAAGCTAGCTATCAAAATGACAGTAATTATGACAGCAACAGGTCCAGGACATCCCAAAACAAGGGGACACACCAGTATTGGTAAAACTGCTACATCTTCCTATAGGTGCAGCATAGCATCATAGTAAAAACTTTGACCCCACCCCTAAATGTGCCTAGTTTTTGAGTCAAGATTTTTTTTAGCCTGCATCGCAGACAGTTTAAACAGCCAGTATAGACTATACCAGGGATTTGGTGACACATCTGGCTGTACTGCTGGCTAGATTTTTTGGGCTCAACAAAGAAGACAGTTCAAATTTGATTCATTAATAATATTGACTGGAAATTTATGAGGTTAAATCCAACTTTTGGACAAAACACTCAAGCTGAAGGCCTGAACAATCTTGGGCACACTGAAAACTTCACCCCAGAAAATATCTGTCATCAAACATTGAGAATTTTACAAAACGAAAGGTGAAAGTTTCAGAAACAACTGCTGGCATTTGACATGATTCTTTCTTTTTTTCAGGCTATTTTAAAACGGATATCTTCAAAAGAGCCACATTATAACCATCTTCAATGGGTAAGGCCATTTTTGTAATGTTTTCTAGTGTATTGAAAAACACAACTAAGTGAAAAAGAGTTCTGGGCTTTGTTAAAGTAGCAAACTACAATGTAATAGAACAGCCCAGAAGTCTTAAAAGAAAGTGAATTTAAAGTAATCCTGGCAGTTATGGGACAGTTTGTTATAATCAGGCATAACATATAAAAAGGACAACTGAAGAAGGTCACTAACAGACATGATCGCAATGTCTTAGGTTTGATCTCTTCTTCAGGATAAAGTAGTGTATGGTTTAATAGGTTTAATATATTGAAGACCCTACATTCTGACTGTTACCAATTGAAACTTAAAACTGTTTTCAGGAGGATGAATGGCAAATCAATGAAACATACATGGACAACATCTCCAAGTATCCAAAGGACTGGTACAAACAATTGACACGCAAGAAGAAACCAAAACAAGAGGAGACAAGCGAGCGACCTAAGAATGACAAGCGACACAGCTCAAATCAGTCAGACAAAGCCACTAAGGAAGCCAAGGACAAACAAGAATCATCCGATAATGGCAACGGTGCAGGAGCTGGAGGCAAATCTGATGAAGACAAAGATGCAGTACCGGAATGAAGAAACAGTGCCTTAATTTATAAATTATAAGAGTGCAATGGATAAGTTAATGTTATTGTATAATGCGACTTAAAATTTTGTAAATAAGATTTTTTTATCAGAGTGCGATAATTTAAAGTTTTTCTTTTCCCAAAACTTCACATTTTTGTTTTACTTTTTATAAAGAAAGAAGTCAAGATTTTCTTTTTGAGTGTGATTTTCATCTTTTGTGATGCAAAGTTTATAACTAAATACAGTTCAGGTTTGTAAGAAGAAATTCAATTTAATTTTAATAATCTTGGGTAGCCTTGAAGCATTATCCTGCTGACTTAAATTTCTGTCAATTTTGGTAGCTGTGCTCAGGGATCTGTTGTTATGGATGTAAACTCAACTGAGCTGTTTTAAATTACATTTTAATGTAATAAATAAATGGCATACATTACTGAAAAGTATTCATTTATCCTTTTATGGGCTTGTTTAATGTTCTTAGTCATTTCAACCATGCAACTTATTAATAGTCAGTGTGGGGAATTTGTGAGTCGATCTTTTTGAAATAACAATGGAAAACTACCCTGATATGCCAGTGAGTGATGAATGCCGAGCATAAAAGAAATAAAGTATGAACGAATCATTCAGACTCAGAATTTGGGTATATTTCTTTTCACAGAATGGCAAGGTGGTCAAGTACATACAATGTCCTCCACTGAGCTCCGGACCTCAGTCATGCTCTGTCATTATCTGTGGACAAAAAATGGGCTGCAGGGCATCAGGATGCAGTCACCATAGCAATATAATAGGTTCAGTTGGATTGAACTGATTGATGAATTTTGTCTACAACGACAACAGCACATTCCATCTCGCAAAACTATAATTTTCCTTCCTCCCTGCCTACTCCAGATCACCCCATGTTGTGGAATTGTAGGAAAGGCACCACTCCAATACTTTTTTGCACCGCATAAATGAGAATCGAGAATTTTGTTTTATGACTTGTGCTTTGCTTTGTTCCACTGACATGTAATTTTACGCAATGCGGCACCTCGCTCACTGTGCACCTACTTCATACATCATGCAGAGTTTCCTTACACTAGGTTCCAGTGTTATTTCTCTGTCTGAACGTCTTAGAAAATTGCCTGACTGACACTTCCAAGGCTGGATTTATTTTCTCAGGCCTTGAAATTCGCGAAAATCGAGCAAACTTGGCCGGTAAAATCAGTAAAATGTTCACCGAAGAGATACAGTGGAAATCGTGAAGTTCAAAAATTAGATGTTTTTGCTGATAACGTGTATTCAGAAGAACAAATCAAACGATTACAAGAGGGATAAAGCTAGATATATAAACTGATCTGAGTAAAATGTGACTTTGAAAACTAAATGTATTCAACAGTCGCTAAAATTTTTCATTACACCGTTTCATTTGAATACTCCCTGAGGTCACTAATTCTAAAAAGTCTGCGAGGGATGTAATGGTAACAAAAATAATATTCCGCACCAATGAATGTTTGCTTTTCTCCTTGCATCGAAGAAGTTATTCAAGGCGCCATTACCTCTGGGTCCTTTGGAAATACTCAGTAAAAAGTATGCATTCTTTTTTAAAAGGCATATTTTCCCCGTGTTGAATGAATTTTTATTGCATATGGCACACCCATTTTGGCGATGGTCACCGTTGTGCAGGGAAACCGAACCGACATCTTCTTCGTTGAGTATCCATCAAAAAAGTCCATGGTTTGTCTTTATATATCTGAGTTTTTGTTCAGTTAATGTTTAACTTCACTTTTATTTTGTTATCCTTTCTGTTTTGGCCGTTTAAGTTTAATACCTCCCGTCTTTTGGGAAAGTCTTTGAGGAGCTTATCAGTGACGCCAGAGAAACTATTGTCGTCCGAACTCCGAGGAGGGAGGTTGGTGGGTGGGAGTCATGCAAATTTTATTCCTAACAAGATGTCGATTTTCAAGTATTTTTGTGCCCCTTTATTCATATTCTCTTCAGATTTGCATAACTTATCTACACTTATAACATTAACTCCTTCAGATTTAATTTTAAATTTAGTTTGTTTTTACCATCATAGTCTTGCAAAGGCCATTTCGTACCCTACGAGACAGAATGTCCAGCTCCTATCCTAATTAGAGGATGGGAATAGAGGAGTTCTGTACCCATGGTCATCTACAAATCCCTACTTCCCTAGAGGTGAAGGTTGTGAGTGGAGGTCTAACTCTTATCCAAAATCATATACTCTTCCCTTAGATAGAGATAGAGAGACTGCAGGATTTTGAGCGGCAGAAGAATTAATCCTTCAAACTTCACCTTTTGGATAGTTTGGGTGCTTACCATATAGCAAAAAAATCCGGAAATTTCGGTTGAAAGTGAAATGGAACAGTGATTTTCCGGAAAATCCGTTCGGAAATTGTAGACTACCTCCAGAGGTAGTCCTCTTTTTCCGTTCGGAACGGAACGGCGGAAATTTCCTTACCATTTGGTAAATAGTAATAGTGTTCTTAGACTCATGAGAACGCGCGATCAAATACACAAGAGGGAAAGAAAGTCACGACTGTCTTCGGATTGGAATGAATATAAATCCCTTCGAAACAGAGTCACCACTATAAACAGAAAAGCCCGGAAGAATTATTTCAAAAATAAGCTCGAGGAAAACCGCAGCAAGCCCAAGGCCTTTTGGGACACATTACGTCAAGTTTTGCCCTCCAAGAAAAACCGCATTGAGATCGACAAGTTAGTAGTCGATTGTAAAGAGCTAATCGACAAGCGTGACATCGCTAATTCACTAAACGAGTATTTTACAACAATTGCTTCCTCGCTGTTAGCCAGTCAGGAATCCCACGGCAACCCAGTTGAGCTATAACAGACGGGCCCTTTAGCGTTTCCCAGTCACAGCTTCAATTTTCGCGCCGTGAGTGAAAACGACGTTTCCAGGCCTCTACGAACCATGGACATATCTAGGGCCACAGGTGCAGACACCATTCCAGCTAAAGTCATTAGGACTGCTGCACCATACATCAGCAATGTTGTAGCTAAGTTATTCAACACATCTTTCAGATGCGGCCGCTTTCCGTCCATCTGGAAAACGGCAAGAGTAACTCCCTTGTTTAAAGGGGGGATCGAGACCGAACGTGATAATTATAGACCAATTTCCATTCTTCCCTGTATCTCAAAAGTGCTTGAATCGTTTGCCAACACTGATCTTCAAGGTTTTGCAGCAGACACTGGCCTCATCAGTGACCATCAATATGCATATGCCAGGTATTCGTCTACCACAGTTGCGCTTATTGTAGCCGTTGATTCATGGAAATTTGCCATTGACAG